CTTATTCAATCTGCGCCGCCCCTCTCGTGTCCCATTTGCCCTTGCCACGCTGGACGTGACAATAGCCAAGTTAAATAGATTTCTAATCAAGTTGCGACTCGTGTCCAACGCTACACTGGGTAGTCAGTTTCAGAACTGAACTGAACTGCAGGACACCCAGTTAGTACCTGGAGAGTTGGAGAACTAGTTGTTGGTGTAGAAAAAACCCCACACAGTTGGTGTCAGTCACGTTGGTAGTACACATAGCTCATGGTTTAATCAGGAGCCAAAGGAGGCACTGGGAATCCTCCATCCAGAGCACTGCAGTGACTTTGAAGTGTAAGCAGCTGAGAAAGGAAAGGCCACTGACTGGGGACCCTGAGTAACACAGGGGAGCCGTCCTCACCTGCTGACACCAGGTTGCTGTAGTTCTCCAACATCACTTCCTGGTACAGGTCCTTCTGCTCGGGGGCCAGGAGCTGCCACTCCTCCCACGTGAAGTCCACAGCCACGTCCTCCAGTGTCAGTGATTCCTGTCATAATATGGTCACGTTTAATATGTTTTTCTTTTGTTGATCACAAGAAATATAAAAGTTGACCTGATCATATTGCCTATGACTCTGACACCAATCCCCGACGTGTATGCTTTTTTTAACCCACACCAAGCAATCTCCAAGACCAGCTGGGTCCTATGATTCAGCTCAATCCGGACACTAACTACCTGGTGACAGCGTCAGATCCCACAGGTTAAGGGCTCAGTCCCACAAGACTGTCCCCACCCTTCCCAAACCCCACTTCAGTGCAACTCCCAGTTGTCACTTGGGCTTCTGACTGAACAGCTATAGGTTGGAAGTTCCCATGACCCCTCTTTGGGTTTGATTAATTTGCTAAAGCAGCTCGGAGAACTCAGGAAAGCAGTACTTATGTTTAACAGTTTATTATAAAAAGATATGATACATGATCGATCATTAACTCCATTTCCAGCCCCTCTCCCCTCTCTGGACAATGGTGGGTGGGGCTGAAAATTCCAAGTCTAATCATGGCGTGGTCTTTCTGGTGACCAGCCCCCATCCAGGAGCCCAACCAGAGTCACCTCATTACAATAAAAGGCAGTCCTGTCACCCAGGAAATTCCAAGGGCTTTGGGAACTCCAGAGAGGGAAGAGGGACTGGGTATTGAGTTCAGCTACCAATGGCCAGTGATTAACTCAATCATGCCTACAAAAGAAGACCACATAATACCCCCTAAACAACAGATTTAGAGTGCTTCTGGATTGGTGACCACAGTGAGGTGCTGGCAGGGTGGTGCTCTGGAGAGGCCCACTGTACCCTCCCCCTATACCTTGCCTTAAGCATCACTTCCATTTCACTGTCCCTGAGTTGTAGCCCTTATAATAACCTGGTAAATGTAAGTCAAATGTGTTCCTGAGTTCTGTGAGTCATTCTAGCAAATCCAAACTTGACAAGGGGGTGGTGAAAACCCAGAAATTTAGAGCTGGTCAGAAGAAGTAAAGGTGACAACATGGGACTTTTGACTGGCACCTAAAGTGGGGGCAGTCTTGTGGAACTAAGTCCTTAGCCTGTGGGGTCTGACGCTGTCTCCAGGTTGTTAGTGTCGGAATTGCGTTGAATTGTAGGACACCCAGCTGGTGTCTGGAGAGTTGCAGAATAGGAAGTTGTGAGGAAAATACCCACACATTTGGTATCAGAAGTCCTGTGAATAAAAACAGTTCAGAAGCGTGGAATATTCAGTGCTGATCCTATGGCCCAGTAGCTTAGGCCCAAATGCCATCAAGGAATAATTGAGACCTACCTGTCAAATGAACTGCCAGATAGGGACAAACTATGGGCATATCTACCCCATGTTATTGCAGACATAACTATACAGAAAGACAGCAGACTTGGTGGAGGCTGTAAATTCTTAACACTACTGATCTGATCACGTTCTGAGATATTTCATGTGAGATGTAGATCCACTTGGAAAAACCAAAACATAGGTTCCCATCTAATTTCAAACTCAAAAATACTTTTCCCCTGTTTCAAGTCCTAGCCATAAAGCAAAAGAATCTATGAAAGCAACAGAGGCAAATATGTATGTTCATATCACAAGCCAAAAACCGTAAAAGCGAATAAGTAACAAGTTTTGTGAGAGGAAAAATGAAAACATCTGCATTGAAAAAGATATGATGAGGGCCAGCCAAGGAGCTCAGTTGGTTAGGAGTGTGAGCTCTGAGCAACATGGTCGCTGGTTCAATTTCCACATGGGCCAGTGAACTGCACCAGAGCTGAGTTGCAGCTGAGCTGCCAACAGGTGGCAGGATGTCTCAGCTGGTGAGAGCACGTGCTCCTAACAACAAGGTTGCTGGTTCAACTCCTGCATGGGATGGTGGGCTATGCCCACCCACAACTAAGATTGAAATGACACCTTGAGCTAAGCGGCTGTGAGCAGCCGACAGGCAGCTGGATGGCGACTGAACTTGGAGCTGAGCTAGCTGTGCCCTCCACAACTAAGATTGAAGGACAACAACTTGGCTGTTCCTCTACCCCAATTCCCCAACACTGTTCCCCTTCTTCTCCAATTCCCCAATAAAATCTTTTTTTTAAAAAAAGATACCATGAACAAAGCTAAAAGAAAAATGACAAGCTGGGAAAATTTTTTATACACAAAAGAAAGAATCAATATTATAGTGGATATAAACAACTCATTAATATGTAAAAGTTTTTTAAATTTAAAAATGATAAGGATGAACATTTCACAAGACAAAAAGTCCAACTGACCAAAAAATATACAAGGGTTTCAACCTCACCTGTGATGAGAAAAATGGGAAATAAGACTCAAGAATACCAAACCATTTAGATTGTTGAAAATTATGCAATTTGATAATGTCCTATTTTAACTACTGGCAAAGACTTAAAGCATGGATGACCCCACAATTCACTTACTATGTAGCAGGAACTCATAAATGCTTTACACATTATAGCTCATTTTTCTGAGCAAGGCTGTGGACAATGGAATTTTATATAGTTAATATCCATCAATCAATTGCAGTCATTATTCCTTTAGATGCTTAAATTATACCATCTTAGGCCAACAGGCTATTTTCTTTGGAGTAAGAGTCCACTGATACAAAACTATCTAACAGATGTGTTTATATGCACAGATATGTATATAAATCCATATACATTTGTAAACAGACACATATCCAGATGCACACACAGGTTCAGTGACAGCAAGGGCACACTACCAAACATTTGTTAAAGCAGATGAGGAAATGATGAGGATGTTACCAAGACAGAATTTACATTTTTGCCCATGGGCACTCATCACTGGAAATTTTTCTTTAAAATATATCCATGAGTAATTTGTATAATTACAGGAAATAAAAAGCAGTAAGAGGAGGTCAGAAGTAGATTTGAAAATGGGAAAGCAGTCAGCATTTTTTGAGATGACATGAAGTTATAAAGCTGACACCCTGGAACCCAATAACTCAAGACTTTACCAGACAACATTTCTTACAACCATCTAAGGCCAAATTTGAACTTTAAGGCCAGTTCAGCTGCCTGTTAATGAAGGATCATTTGAACGCCATGCAAACATGCCATTTCCTATGCCATTTAGGCTTTATTACTGGATAAACGCAGGCAGACCCAAGGCTGAGTCCTTTGAGTGACCTTGCATTGGTCCCCTGAAAAAATTGTGTTCACTGGCTTTGCTTGGTCTATTCCCTGAGGAACCCTGGAATAAACAGCAGGGGGAAATATGTTTCTGCTTTTGTTGGAAGTTAAAAACCCCATCTCCTCTAGAAAGAATGTAACATTTTTCCTGAGACCTAAGTACCATGAAATAGTGACATCCTCTGAGGAACCTTTTTGCTTTGTCCTCATACTCACTACATATTATATACCTTAGCATGATTCTCTTCTTGTGTTGGCTGTCAGATATCAGATACAAGCTGACAGCTACTGTTGTAACCCAGAGGATCCTTCAGTTACGCATTATGTTCCAACATTAGTCACTTATTCAGAATCACATAAACACTATATTCTTGATCCTACTTTGCCATGATGTTAGAGTTTATTTCTCTCTAAATGCTGAACCGATTTTTTACAGCTTCCACAAATCCATTAGGGAATAAAGGAGAGAATAAAACAAGACAAAAGTCACCTGGGCCTGGAGCATTTTCTTTCTGTTTAGGGAAATGGCCAACAACTGTGATACTCTCTGTCTTTGTCTTTTTTGGTTATGCCCTAAATTTCTAATTAGAAATCTCACTCAGTAGTCAAAAGTGTCCCCAGAAAGGACAATGTCTAGGTCTGGGAACCTCCTCTTTCTTCATTCATTTCTTGTCTCTTGCCAGGACCTGTGGGATGAAGAGCAAAATTACTTTCAGGGTTACATTCCCATCGCTGTGCAGTCACCTTAACACATGGTCCTTAGCATTTCTGTCTCTTTATTTGGTTCCCCAGGGACCATACCTCAGGCTAATGAACAAAAGACGCTGAATGTGTGAAAGTAGCATGAATGTGAAAGGAAAAGTGGCAAATGAGAATCAGCATGGTACTGTGCCTCAGTGGCAGGTAATTTTCAGAACAATTATAGAAATGAGACCATATGAATGGTGAGGAACTGTAAATTTTTCCTTTAAACTATGTTGCCCTCAAACCTTATTAACAGTCCTTACATACCCTGTTTATATACAAAGTTCAATATGAAGAAGATAAGCACACCAAAAATAGAAGAGATACAAGGAATATGAGCTATAAATACAAATTTCATAAACATTTCAAAAATATAAATCTTGGGAAAATATCAGCCTTTATATATTCGCATACAGAGCCTTAAAGGAAATGTGCAGTAAGCTTGCAGTAGGAAGATAAAAACAGAATATTACATTAAAAGCTTATCAATTTTAAATAAACTGAATGGTTAATCTGCCCCAAAACTTTCATTTCTGTGGATTTAAAGGGATGGGACGATGTGGGGAGACAAAAGGGATTAGAAAAGTAGTTGTGGTGGAGGAGCCTGGACCAGAAACTTTTGGGGAATGTTAACGTTCTGCAAGTCTGTTCAAGCAGCCTGAGCTCAACACATGAACTAGCCAGAGCCCCTGAGCCTCCAAACCTGCTGTCACACATCTTGGCATAAAAGACAGTGGTCACCACCCCACCCACCAGATGAATATCAAAACCAGACCAGATACGCACGTACACTGACCTCTCTTAATGGTTCCTCGATAACTGGCTCCAGATTACTCCAGAATCCGAACCAAATGCCGTGGTCATTGACAACCACCACCCCATCGGTTGTCTGGCTCCTACCGGCACAGCAACCCGCGAAGATGCTAAACCCTGACCTTCAGACTCTCGGTAGTTCAGATTTTAATCACTGAACACCAGAGGCTCCCATGATGGAACCCAGACACCCCGATCACTGACAGTACAGGCTCCTCAATGCTCCCCGCCCTTGCGCTACCTTCACCAACTGACAGGAACAACCACCGACTTAGGAGCAGATAGACCGCCCCCGTCCCCGCCTTTTCTACAGACAGACCCGTACACTGACTTGACTCTTTCCTGAACCTCCAGCGACTTCTTCAGGGCCTGACTTACTTCCCTAAACTTCTTTCACTTATGGCCTCCTCTCCCGAGAACGTCAGACGAAGGTCCGCTGCGTTTCTATGGAGAATAGAATTCAGATTTTTGCTTTTTCCTTATGAGGTAATATATCCGCGCCGCCGTCATCTCGGCGCCCTGGGGGCCGCCATCTTTGTATACCTGACGTACAGGCTTGTCGTACAGAAGGCTTTTGCGTCAATGACCGTTAAGACACGACGGTGAGACCACTGCTGAAACGCTCCCACTTCTGGCACTTCGGCCGTTATAGGACAAGAGAGGCCTGAAAGGGGCTCGAGGTCACCGAGGCAAACACAACTTGGGGGTAAATTCATCTGTTGTAGGGGACGGCGAACATCGCAAATTTTTCAAAGGCCGTGCCCATCACGACCTAAAGGGCGCGGCGTACATTCTGAGCGGCTCTTATGGCTGTGACGCCTCAGCTCAGTGGGAAATTAAAATAACTTCTGGACACTTCAGTCGCTGCTCTAATTGCGGAGATTTAACGGTCGTATAAAAACTAAAGCGTGCTTGACCAAAACGCTAGCGCCGTGCTGAAGCCGTATAGGGTTTGTGCCTTTAGTTAGGAACACTATGGGCGCAGCCATCTTGCGGGAAGTTCGGTTTCCGTACAGAACAGTTGGTCTCGCGGGGGGGGGTAGCTTGGTATGGAACTGGGCAACCTTTGGAAGACGAGCAAGATTTTTAAAAGTGAGATGGTATGGGGGAATGCAGTGATCTATCACAAAGTGGGCAGAAACGATGGACGTTGTGAGCCTCTTCATAGGTACATCCCTTTACCTGGCCCAAGTACAAAACATGCCACATCCTAGGCAAGCCACTGAACCACCTTCTAACACTCTTCATTAGTGTACATTTTATGAATAGAGTTTTAGTGTACGCGTATGTACCTTTTTATCTGGCTTCTTTCACACAACATAGGTGTTTTGAAGTATCAATAAGTCATTCCTCTTTGTTGCTTAGGATTCCACAGTATGAATATTCCTAAATGTGTTTAATCATTCACCAGTTGGTGGACCTTTGAGTTGTTAATAGTTTTTGATATTTCAAATAGAACCACTATGAACATGCAAAAAATTACTTCAAAGAATTGGATTTCCCACAGTCGTACGCATCTGCATCACCTCACCAAGAGGCTTTGCCAGGCATTTGCAGGCCTACTACTATTTCTAGCCCTTCTCTGACTCATATTCTCCTTCCCCGTGGCCCCAGTCCTGAACTACAATAGAAGGTTCACTCACCATGAGGAAGCAGAGATGTTGAGAACACAGGCTGCGGCAAAGATGCCAGGTTCATCTACCTGCTCACATTATGTTAAACCCCATAGGCCTTTACAATTCTCAGAAGTCATGCAAAAGTCATGTAACCACAGATCAAAGCAGTCAGTCAGTTCCATCTTCTCTTACTCCTCCATCAGTATGATGCTGGCCCAGTCTCTAACCCAAAATGCTAGAATTGTCCCTTCTTACACCCTTGGCCTGTACTATCTTGTATTCGTAAGGCAGGAAAGGTGATCCTTGTAAAACACAAATCAATCATGAAATTTTCCTGTTCTCAATTATCTAATGGTTGCATTACTGAATAAAATAAGTATTGAGATTGCTAAATTTAGGTGTTTATATATGTTGGAGTAAATTTACTGATAATCCAGGGTTTGTGATGGAAACGTAAGATTTCCTATTTCTTGTTCTGTAAGTAGGACTCAAGGGTTTTTTAGCAAGTATCTTTATTGGGTCAAGGGAAAGACTCGGGGTAGAGGAGAGAGGACAAGAGCCCCACTTGTAGCAGTAAGAAGGCATGAAAAAGATCAGTAAAATCACGTCCAGTGAAGTAGGTCAGAGAATATGGGATTTTGAAATGATGGCAACCCTTAAAGGTGATAAGCCTGTGAACAAATAAATAACATATAAGGTTTCTTCTCCAGTACATCCCAAGGGGAATCTTACCTCCTTTTATCTCCTATACTTTCCTCCATCTTACTCCAAGGTGATCATGCTTTTTATTTTACTTACCCTGGGAATCCTATTCCGTTTCTGCTCTTCCCCTTTTATATTCAGACAGACACTGAGACACACACACACACACACACACACACACACACACACACACTATATGAATGGGAAGAAAACACTAAAATCATCATATACCTGCCCATTAGTTCATATCTTACTTCATGAATAAGCAACTGTAGATAATGTCTACAGCTACATCTTTCTTTCTTTTTTTTCTTTTCATGTCAGACGGGTAATGTGCTGATGTTGTAAAAAGGTTTGTGGGAGGCACATCTCACACAGAAGCGTGAGCACCCAATCATCACACTTATGAACTCTGAAAAGATATACAGCTACATCTTTCAGAAGACATTCTTGTTCTGCTTCTGGGGAACCAAGTCTCTTGGGTCTTCCAACCTCACCACCTCTTTCTTCCTACTTCATCACTGCTATTTATTTATTTATTTATTTATTTATTTATTTATTTATTTATTTATTTTATAGCTGAGCCATCCTGCCATCTGTTGGCAGCTCAGTAGTTGCTCAGCTCGGGCCGGGAATCAAACCAGCAACCCTGTTGCTCAGAGCTCGCACTCTTGAGTGAGGTCTTAACCAACTGAGCCACTCAGTCGGCATTCCACTGCTCTTTTTTAATCTACTTTATTAGACACTCATCTTTCTAAACATTAGAAGACCCTAAACATTAAGAAGAAAAAAAAAAGTGGAAGAAATTTTCTTGTAGGGATGACGATTTTAGTTCCTTGTACAAAAAGTATGAATTCGTTCAGGAATTTCTATGGAGGCAGTAAAATATAACACAAGTGTGCAGATCAGAAAATACTAAGGAAAATGTGAATTTAGGGGACTTTATAGAAAATAACAGCTTACCTTATTAGAATAAAAAAAAGAGTTAAGGATTATGAGAACAAAGCAAGAAATGGAAAACAGAACCTTCAGACAATTTCTGAGTGGGGCAAAGACAAGTGTCTTAGTCAGTTCAGGCTACTATAACAAAATAACAGAAACTGATTTATCACAGTTCTGGAGGCTGGAAAGTCCAAGATCAAGGCACTGGTGGATTTGGTGTCCAATGAGGGCCTGTTTCCTCACAGACACTGCCTTCTAGCTACAACCTCCCATGGCAGAAGGGGAGAGGGGTCTCTGGCCCTAGTGACCTATACCTCTCAAACACCCCCATATCCTAATATCACCTTGGGGGTTAGGATTTCAACATACGAACTTTCAGGGGACACAAACATTTAGGCTATAGCAAGAAGCTAAGAAACCATATAAACACACATCAGGTTACAGAGTGGGCATAGCATCCAACATGGAAATGAATGTTAGGAAGGGAAATTACTATTTCCCAAAGAGCGCAGAGAGGCTCTAATTAAAGACTACGCTGAATTCAAAGATCTGTTTGAAACAAGGCCAGGAAGATGAAATTTCATACCAAGGGATGGGGAAGACATAGGCAGAGACACTGTGACAATGGACAAAAAAAAGGCCAAAACAAAGAGAAGAGAACTAGGAAAACAAACAAAAAAATCAAAATTACAAAAAATAAACAGGGATCAGATCTCAGAGGAAGGGAGGGGGTATAATTTCCTCCTACAAAGGGAAAGCTTGCATATGAGAAGAAGGATATGGGGAGCAGCTGTTTAGGTTTCCTCAGACACTCTCACACTGGGCACCATCTCCTACTGACTAGCATATGGCTTCCCCAGCCGCCCCCCTTGCTGGTTCTCTCACTCACCTGAAAAGGTCTGACTATGGATTTTGTCTTTTTTTTTTTTTAATTTTTATTGGGGAATTGTGGGGATGGAAACAGTGCTGGGGAATTGGGGGAAGGGGAACAGACAAGTTGCTGTCTTTTTTTGTTCTTCAGTCTAGTTGTGGAGGACGTCGCTTCACTGGCCCAAGTTGGCACCGTCATTGCGCTCTTCCCGGGTGAGGCAGATCAGTCGCCGGCTTCTGGATGGCCGCTCACTGCAGCTGCTGGCCGCTCACGCTGGCTGCTGGCTACACACGGTAGCCCATGGCAACCCACTGCAGCAGGGGCTGCAGCCTCCGCCTCGCCTACGCAGCCCAGCTCCAGGTTGAGCTGTTGTTCAGCATCTTAGCTGTAGAGGGCAGTGTCACTGGCCCTCATATGTGGGATCCGAACCGGGGTCCTCTGGCGTCCCAAGCCAGTTCTTAACCATCGCGCCACTCGGCCGGCCCGGATTTTGTCTTCGATTATACTGTTCTTCCCATGTTCCAACTTGGAGAATGCGTCTGGTTTGCTAACTTGATACCCTGTTCATGGGAAATGACAGAAGACTTTAGACACATCGAATTGGGCTGGGATGTGAAGATGGGAGAATGCTACATTGTAGGGATTATACGGTTTTCACATCAGCCAAGTAGAGGCTTTTCTCTCAGAAGAGGGAACATTATACACCATTGTCTGGAGCCAGAGAAGGACCTGAGAGTCTACCACTTGAGAGCATAAGAGACTCTGAAGCTGATAGAAGAAAGGCCACTGACTAAGGAACCTGAGTGACACAAGACAGCCATCCTCACCCACTGATACCAGGTTGCTGTAGTTCTCGAACATCACATCCCAGTACAGGTCCTTCTGCTTGGGGGCCACTCCTCCCAAATGAAGTCCACAGTCATGACTTCCAGTGTCGTTGATTCCTGTCATAACATGCACCTGTTTAATAGGAAGTATTTCCCTTTTATTGATATACAGAAAGGAAGTTATTCTGCTTATTTTCACCTTATAGGCAGCACCAATACAATCAGTTCTTTAAAAAACACTTTGTAGAAGGAAAATAATAATGGAGTTATCATATATTCACTCTTCCATTTATTCAACAAATTAGATATTTCTATAATGCATAGCCATTAAATCCTCTTGATAATCAAGATTCATATATATATATACACATATATATATATGTGTATATATATATATATATATATATATATATATATGTATATATACACACACACGCACACACACATTTGGGGGTCTGACAAGTTCACAAACTCATCCTAGAAAAAGTGCTACATACCTCATTGCTGAATATCACTACTGTTGTCTTCAAAATACTCCTTTTGGGAAGCTATGCACTGACGCCAGCACCTAGTCTACCCTTCAAAGCAATTTTGGAACTCTTTTTTCTGGAATGGCCATCAGAGCTGTCATATTACCCTTGATTTTGAATGTCATCAAAATGTCTTCCTTTCAATATTTCCTTTATCTTCAGGTAAAGAAAGAAGTCACTGGGAGCCAGATCAGGTGAGTAAGGAGCATGTTCCAATACAGTTATTTGTTTACTGGCTAAAAACTTCCTCACAGACAGTGCTGTGTGAGCTGATGCATTGTTGTGATGAAAGAGCCATGAATTAATTATGGTGAAAAGTTCAGGTCGTTTTTATGTAACTTTTTCATGCAGCCTTTCAGCACTTCCAAATAGTAAACTTGGTTAACTGTTCAGTTGGTACAAATTCATAATGAAGAATCCCTCTGATATCAAAAAAGGTTAGCAACATCGTTTTGACTCTTGATTTAGACCAGGGGTTGGCAAACTGCGGTTCGTAAGCCACATGCAGCTCTTTGCTGACCCCTGATTTAGACTGACAAAACTTTTTTGGTCATGGAGAATTGGCTGACTTCCATTGTGCACTCTGATTGTTTGTTTCAGGGTCGTATTGGTACATCCATGTTTCATCACCAATGATAACACGGCCTAAAACATCATCTTGCCTCTCCAAAAGGCCTTGGCAGACTTTGACCCTCCTTTGCTTTTGTTCATTGGTAAGCTCCTTCAGGCCATTTTTGCACACACCTTTCTCATGCAAAGATTTTTCATTAAGATTTTCCTGTTTCTCTATTGATGTTTACTTGGTCAGCTATGCTTTTCACAGTCAGCCAATGATGTTGACGCACAATTTGACAAATTTTGTAATGTTTTCATCAATTCTGCTCGTTACTGGCTGCCCTGACCTCTCTTCATCAGTGACACATTCTCTCCCCTCAGAAAAGCGTTTATTCCATTTGTACACTGCCATTTTTTTCATGGCATTATCCCCATAAACTTGGATTAACTTGTCCCTGATTTCACTTCCACTCTTGCCAAGTTTAACAAGAAATTTAATGTTTGTTGGTTGCTCTAATTCAAGCTCAGACATTTTTGCGATGACACACAAAAACATGTAACAATGATGAACACCACCCAGCAAGACACCACCACACGTCAACATGAACACAGCTATGAGAATTGATATACCAAGGTTATGAAACCTTACCGAGCTGTTTATAGAGTGATGCCAATGTAAGTGCACAGTGGCAAGTTCACAAACTTAACTGTCAGACCCAGTGTGTGTCTGTGTGTGTACACCTATTTGCCAAATACTATACACATGTAGGTGACAGCGAGATTAGTAAAACATTATTACAATTAATCAAAAGCATGTTGCCTTTATTTTTTAAAAATTGACCTACTTGATCAAGTATATACTTTAAATAAAAGATTCAAATGATTTTACATGTGTTATATATCATATATATGACGAGTCAAATGATTACATATATACATATATATTTACATGAATAATCAATTATTAACTCAATCTCTGGGCCCTCTCCTTCTTTCCCCAGAGTATAGGGGATGGGTTGAAAGTTCCAAGCTTGTAATCATGGATTGGTCTTTCTGGTGACCAGTCCTCATCCAGGAGCCCACTAAGAGTCACCTAATTAACATCAGCCTCTCAACCACAGACATTTATAGCCCACCCCAGATACTGACCATACGACCCTATGTTAATTGTCAAACCTGGAAAAGATACTACCATTTACTAATGACATGCCAGCTCCATCAGTTAGCCCAATACAAATTTCTGAACTAGAGTTTGTTGACAAATACCGCTGTTGTGGGCTGAACTGTGTTCCCCCTCAAATCCTTATGTTCAAGTCATAACCCCCAGTACCTCAGAATGTGACTGTATTTGGACACAAGGTCTTTAAAGAGGTAATTAAGTAAAAATGAGGTCATTAGAGTTGGCCCTGATCTAATATAACTGGTGTCCTTATAAGAGGAAATTTGGACATACATAGACACAGAGGGAAGATCTTGTGAAGACACAGGAAGATGTCCATCTACAAGCCAAGGAAAGGGACCTCAGGAGAAACCAACCCTACTGCCACCTTGACCTCAAGACTTCTAGCCTCCAGAATTGTGAGGAAACAAAAATGTCTGTTGTTTAAGCCACCCAGTCTGGGGCACTTTGTTATGGCAGCCCTAGCCAATTAATACGACCACCCCCAACTCCAGTTCTGCACTAATGAGCCATACAAGGCAGTGACCCACTAAGATCCTGGTACCAGTTGTTGACCTCATACAACTGCATACAGTAAGTGGTTATGGTACTAAGGAAAAAGGAATGAGGTTTCAAATGTGTACAGTAAGTCCTCACTTAACAGCATTGATAGGTTCTGTGACTTTAAGCAAGATAATGTATAATGAAACCAATTTTACCATAGCCTATTTGATATAAACAAGAGTTAAGTTCCAATGGCATCTCAATATTATACAAAAAAGACGCTGAACAAAACATTATTTGAGGTCCTGCTGCACAAATGTTTCCCTATAATACATAAGATGGAGCATGTGAGAGTGCTAAATAATGCAGTCAGTATTTGGCAAACAGCACACTTAACTGGTAGTTATAATTTTTATGAAAACAAGGGGTGAAGCAGAAGATACAGGTTGGTATACCCCTCTTAAAGACAGCAACCTGGAATTGTCCATCCCATTAATATTTTTTATTTACCTGGTATGCCACCTCTGAAAGCTGAGTTCAGCACCTGGTCCTCTGGGCAGCCTGGGCAGCCCATTCGAGGACCCTGACTGATGATTTCTGCGAGAAAGGCGCTATGACTGCCATGATAGGACATGCAGAGTCATAAGACAAGAAGTGGAGAGGATCTCAAGTCTTAGCTGAAGAATCTATTTGATTCTTTGCTGAAGAGCATCTGTCCTGAACGCATCCTGTTAGAGGCCATTACTTTGCATATTTCGTTCACCAGAGTATCTTGTGTCTATAAGTATCCTAGTCCTCCAGAGAGAGGACTAGGGTCCCATTCCCAGGACAGTGAGGAGTGATAAGGCTACATTACTTGTCTCAATTCATCGTGTCACAGAGGAGCCAGGATCTTTGAAACGGTGGCAGCTCTTAATGGTGACAAACCTGTGGACAAATATAAGGGTTCTTCTCTAAGGTATCCAAATGATCTCACCTTCACCCATGTCCTCCATTTTTAGAGTGAAGTTATTTTCTTCCATTAATTGGGCTTATTCTCCGTATCCTATTCATTCTCTGATCTGCCCATTTATATTCTGACAGGAGCCTCTAGCCCGAATTTTTAAAAAAATGCTCCTTAATACAATCAATAATGTTGTAAATATTTCTTAGGGGGCCAGATGGACCCATGTCCTGTTGGGGAGTCCACTTCATAGTCGATGTAGAGGCCTGACCACCACATTGTATTTCTGAAGCTGATGTTGAATAGTATGTCAACTATAATTATATATACATATAGTCTCGGGACATGGAGTAGAGAGCGGGAACGGATTCAATGGAATTGTAATAGATAAGCATGATATCGGGGGTGGGAGGGCAATAGATGGGGGAGGGGGTTTGTTACTTTGTGAGGGTGAAAAGGGTAACTATTGCATTGTTCTGTACACCTGAAACTAACAATAAAAAAATTTTTTAAATACTCCTTAGAATGCTAATCCTTAGAATTTCTTTTTACTAGGCCGAGTCCTTCAGTGAAAAAATAATTTTGATTGATTAATCCATTAGGTCATTCACCTTCATTCATATTTCAAATCTACATATAATTCATTTCTATTTTGCTATGTGCTGGAGAATATAAGGTTATCTATAAACTATATCAAAGAATTTATAATCTAGGTAGAAAGATAAACTTTTTAAAAAAGCATCCATACCCTATTTTGCGTACTTAAAATTAAGCAGACTATTTCCAGTCCTCCTCCAAATAATATGCCCCTTGAACAAGAACTTATTAGGATATTTTGTTCCTTATACTATATGTCCCTTTCAACTAACATAGGTGTATACATCCTTTGATTGCATTTGCAGGAGGGTAAAATTTCTATATGCATGAAATCTACCTTTTAAAAAATTGCTAGCTCAAAGGTAGCAAGAACTTTTTGTTTAGTTCATCCCCATCATCATCTATAGGTCCTAGAACAGTATCAGGTAAAGGAAATAGTTGTTATAAAGTTTCCCTGAGTGGTGTACGCACAGAATGGAAATCTTCTAGGGCAGAGGTTGGCAAACTTTTGAGACAGAAGAGCCGCCAGGAGTCAGCAAACTGCAGCTCGCGAGCCACATGCAGCTCTTTGGGTACGTACATGTGGCTCTGAAGTAAAGTTGACTATGAAAATAAAACTATCATAGTTTCCTTTATAAAATTTTTAAAAGATATTATTCACATAATGGTGATTATGTAAAAATATATTTATGGTTCTCGAATAATTGTTAAATTATTGTGAGGGACAGGATTGGCTCTTCCAGGGGTTGGCAAACTTTTGAGATGGAATACACCCAAAGAGCTGCATGTGGCTCACGGGCCACAGTTTGCCGACCCCTGTTCTAGGGCAAGAGCTTGGCTGATAGGTTATTCATGAGTTTTGAGTTTTGTTTCTCTGGGTGATATTTATAAAGTTGGCACATCCAAGTATGCTGTTATATGATTGAATTAAGTGTACTGTTTGCTTTTGAAGGACTTCAGTAGTCCTTCAAACTGAAATACAAACTGAGTAAATTCAGAATAGAAGAAATGGAAGAACCAACCATGTAATGTTCCTACATGGGGAAAAAAAACAAACCCAAAAATTCATGCCCCCCAAAAGGGGGAGGGTACATTTTGTTATAACCAGTGAGTCACTGATACATGAAGTAGGAGTTTGATTCTAAGTATACTATCCTAAAATATACACTACATATATATATATATATATATATATATATATATATATATATATATATATATATATATAATGTTTTATAATTGTTAGAATTGTGACAGAAATCCCTAAAATCTTCTTCATCTTCACAGGTCTTATTTCTTTCATGCATTTTTTGATATTTTGCTGAAGATATTCCACAGTTAGTGTCTCCAGAGTTTTATTTCTAGGATTTCCTCTGCCAACTGATGAAGCAGAATGCACCCCTGACAACCCTGCCACATTCACTGCCTTTAAAGGTCCAACAGGTTCTCTCTTGTGTGAACTCTTTGCCACCTGCTGAAGTCTTATTTCTGAGAAAGGGCTTTCCATGGTTATTATTTTTCTAAAAACTATGAGCTCACTGCTATGTGACCTTTGAAGCATTGTTAGGGTTTATTTTTCCACAAAAGGCTCTCCAGTCTCTATTTGCATACTTGTCTCAGTATATATACTTTTGTCAGCCATGTAATGAGCTAGAAAATTTTATTCAAGGGTTTTCCACCTTGATTGTATCACGGTTTATACCTGTGTGATTTTTGTGACATAAAATATGATGTAATTGGTCACTGAAGGCACTACCACATTCACTGCATTCATAAGGTTTCTCTGTGCAGATTCTATTATCTGCTGACAGTGCACCTCTGGTACTTGGACGTTCCACAGTGGTCACATTCCCATCTACTAGGAACCCACTGATGTGTAATGAAGTCTGGGCCACCATAGAAGGCATCTGCATGGTCACCGTACCAACAGAGTTTTTCTTCTGTACGATATCACTTGAATGTGAAGAGCTATGAATCTTAGAGACAGGATTTTCCAACTTGACTGAAACTACACATTTCTCTCTTGCATGCAGCATTCCCTTGTGATACACAAGGCAAGACAAGTGGGAGAAGGCTTTCCCGCAATCAGAACACCCATAGGGTCTCTCTCCTGTATGAGTTCTCCGATGTCTATTGAGACACGACTTATCTCTAAAGGCTTTCCCACAGTCACTGCATGTATAGGGTTTCTCTCCTGTGTGAATTCTCTGATGGTTAATGAGACCTGACTTATGTGAACAGGATTTTCCACATTCGGTACACACAAAGGGAGTCTTTCCAGTATGAAATCTCTGATGTGATATGAGGCAAGTTTTCTGGCTGAAGCCTTTTCCACACTCCGTGCATACATAAGGTTTCTCTCCAGTGTGAGTTCGCTGATGTATAAGGAGATTACCCTTCTGGATGAAGCCTTTTCCACATTCATTGCATATATAGGGTTTCTCTCCCGTATGTGTTCGCTGATGTACAATGAGATTGCCCTTTTGAATGAAGCCTTTCCCACAGTCACTGCATATATAGGACTTCTCACCTGTGTGAGTTTTTTGATGGGCATTGAGCTGTGATTTCCAGCGGAATGTTTTGTCACACTCTGTGCATTTATAAGGTTTTTCTCCTGTATGAGTTCTCTGATGTTCAATGAGCCTGGACTTTCTGGAGAAGGCTTTGTCACACAGACTGCATCCATGAGGTTTCTCTCCTGTGTGAACTCTCTGATGATTAATGAGCCGAGACTTCTTGATGAAAGCTTTCCCACAGTTGTCACATACATAGGGTTTCTCTCCTGTATGAGTTTTCTGATGAGTCAGTAGCCGTGATTTCTTGGGGAAGGCTTTGTCACATTCAGTGCACTCATACCGTTTCTCTCCTATGTGCGTTTTCTGATGTTCAGTGAGCCTGGACTTCCTGGAGAAGGCTTTCCCACATACACTGCATCCATGAGGTTTCTCTCCCGTATGAACTCTCTGATGATCAATGAGGCGAGATTTCTTGATGAAGCCTTTCCCACATTCACTGCATACATGAGGTTTATTTATCTCTTCATTTCTTTGGTGTTTAACAAATTGTGAATTTCCATTTTCAGGAATTTTAATTTCAGTATGAAATCGCTCATGCTTTGCCTGGAGGAAAGATTTCACATTGCCATTAACCTCAATAGGGTTCTTTACATCATAGCTTCCGTTCTCCTTAACAAAATTTAGATTTGAATTCAATGCTTTCCTGTGTGTGTCAAATATATCATGATTTTGCCTCAAAGGAAAATTATTTGTACCCCGATGAACAATGTTTCCAAATGCATTATGTTCATGGCATTGTTCCGATTTCTTTAGACATCTTCGATTTTGCAAGTGCCCCTGGAGATGACCGACATCTTTCTTGATTTCTAGAAAAAAAGAGAATAATGACTCTTTCCATGAGCTTGGTATAGAATAAAACTATTTCACAAATAGGTCTATGTAGGCTGGATCTTTATTAACAATGCTATGACCCCAGTTTAAAGAAATTCCAAGAAAATATTAGTTATCACTTAAACAAGGGTAAAATATTGGGTTATGGGAAAAGTCATGACTTATTTTTTCTATGTTTTTCGTTGCAATAATGCATCATGACTTTTCCAACAACCCAATACAATCATATAAACAAAGAAAATAAAAGGTAAAAACAGTCAGTATATAAACAAGATTCATTCATTCAAAACGAGTTGATATACTTTTGGTTGCTTTCTAAATGTGACTTTATAAAGCATGCTGAGATAGTAAAATAAAATCAAGTTACTATTAGCACTCAACCACAGAAGAGAGATATTTGTTTCAAAATGATGTGGAACACATCCACAAATCCTTATTAAATTATGACTATGTACCAAGCACTGTGCTGGAGATGAGGATATAGAAACATTCCTTATTTTCACTGAGCATACATTCTAGTTAGGGAAAACGGACCAAGAAAGCAATGATAAAAATGGCAGGTACAAATTGTGAAGAACAATTTAAAGGAGAAATGGAGAGCAAGGTGGAAGAAATCAGGATATAAGCTGGAGCGAGAAAAAGACAAGGCTTATTCATGGTTTCAACACTGGGGGATTAATAAACATGAGGAATAAGGTATTGTTCGTAATTATTTGACTTGGCCCACTGTATAGGTAGGTAGTGCCTTTTAATGAGATTGGGAACATTAGTGAAGTCTGCAATGTGGGGAAATCAAGTGTGTATTTCAAAGCATATCAACCTTCAGATGGATTTTGATATCTAATACAGACACAAAGACATCGACTGGGTATAGAAACCTTGATAAAGTTCTTAAGTGAAGATAACAATGTGGAAATCATTAGTATATAAATATTAAATAGCACAGAGGACTGGATGAGATCATGTTTGGACAAATGTGTAGAATGAAAGAAGATGAAGGCATGGGACCAAATTTATAGTTATTATAACATTAAGAGTTTGGGTTTTAAAAAGCTCACTGAGGAGCACCAAACACTATCTCTACTGCTAAGGGAAATAAGCCTTCCTACATTCAGGAAACAGCAAGGGTTTTAGGAGCTCTGTCAGGAATCAGAGCCAAAAACCAAATACATATATCTTTTCTTTTCTTTTCTTTCTTTAAAGATGTTATTGAGGAATTAGGAAAGGGGAACAGTATTGGGGAATTGGGGAAGGGGAACAGCCAAGTTGTTGTCCTTCAATTTTAGTTGTGGAGGGCACACCTAGCTCAGTTCCAAGTCCAGTCGCCATCCAGCTGCCCGTCAGCAGCTCACGGCCACTCAGCTCAAGGTGCTCAATCTTAGTTGTGGGTGGGCATAGCCCACCATCCCATGCGGGAGTCAAACCGGCAACCTTGTTAGGAGCACGTGCTCTCACCAGCTGAGCCATCCTGACACCTGTTGGCAGCTCAGCGGCAGGTCCGCTCGGGCGCAGCTCACTTGCCCATGTGGGAATCAAACCGGCAAACCCTGTTGCTCAGAGCTCGTGCTCTTAACCAACTGAGCCACTCGGCCGGCCCCCAAATACATATTTCTTTTATCACATTATCACACTAGAGAACTGTCACGTTTTCCAGTCATACTTTGCACTTGTGTACTATCTAAAATGTTCCCATTTCAATGTAATGATCTCTAAACCCACATCTTGTAGCCTCACAACTGCCGAGACAACTGCTCCCGTGAGCTGATCCCATGAAGTCATAAGGAAGTGTCTCGGAATGCTGAGACCCGAGGGAATGATCTCGGTAAAACTTCCTTATCAGATGGTCTCAGAATGCTGAGTCCATCTCCTGGGGTCGTGTGTGTGTGAAGGCACAGTACATGTTGGAGCACAATGGGGCTTTGGGGAAAACAGTTGCTAGGTACAAGGTTCACAGACTCAATAGAATGGAATGAGAAAAACAAATTTACTCCCTTGTAGCAGTGGATAATAAAAGCTATGCATAAGCCTGATTCAGGGCTCAGTCCTAGAGACTTGAGTCCCCTGGCCCGCTTTAACCCAACACTTGCTCTTGTCTTTCTTAACCCTTCGCCACCCCTCTTGCATCCCACAGCTCTTGCCGCGCAGGACACGACAACATCTTGTCACTAGCAGCATCTTCTTTAAAAAGCTACATAGACATTTTGGTTTCATCATTTAAGGGGTCCTAAAGGACTACACTTCTGATCCCAGGCCAGTTTTGCCTTCCATTTTTCTTTTCTAGGATAAAGAAGAATGTTTTCTAGAACTACTAGATGTACTTTACTATTGCTACACTGCTGCCACCCAGTTAAAAAGACTACACATCCAAGGATAATACAAATCAAACTTCCAACCCCACCATTCTACCTCAATTACTAACAAAATCCACAAAAGTCCATAACTTTGGAAATCAAAGTTATATGCGTATTTCGAACAATTACTTCATTTATACATGTTCACACTCCACTGGTTCTCCTACAAATACCTTCTAAAACTGGCCTTCATGTGGCCAGCTTTAGGCCAATCCTGAGTCCCTACGTGGCTCTGCATATTTCCAACTTCATACCTTCATTCTTTGCCTTTCACCATCTTTATTCGAATCCTAGATATGGCTCCTGTATACCATGCTGTCATTCCCCCATTCTATGTCACTGTAAGCTCTGTTTCCCCTAAATTTCTAACATACTCCCCATCTTTACTGTTCATCTTGACAATTAACTTCACAGAGCCCTGAATTGTAGCAAAAGATGCCTCATTCAAAAGCTGAAGTTCTATGTTACATGAAGATTTCTCCTCTGTTACTGAAACCTTACTCCTAGAATGTATTGCTTTAGTTCTCACTCAGCTCAATCTTTTCTAGCACATACTGGGATTATGGTTCACCAATCACCCTCACATGGGCCTACTTACAGCATTATACATAGACTAGCCCAAGCCATACCCCAAGTCTAACAAAACACATTCTCAAAAGATGAGGCCTCAGTACCTGTATTAAGAAACCATGCATTTAACAAATATTCTTTGACTGCTAGTTGACCAAGGCTCTTCTTAACCTGTACTCACAACATAGGAGATCTCAGTAAGTCCATATTTCTTCCCCTAGTCCTCAACTCCTCAAATATATCCAAATGCAGCTCAGTGCACCATTTGGATGTGAACAAGCACATCTAAATTACGATGTGCAAAATAAAACTCCTGATTTCTCAACCCACATCTCCTTCTCCACAAATCGTCTTCATCTCAGAAATGGCAACTCCACGGCTCCTGGGATGCATGCCAAAAACCATACCATCATCCTTCATTTATATTTTTCTCACACCCTTCATCTACTTCAATAGGAAATCATTTCTTCCCTCCCTCATCAATATATTCTGCAGCTGACCACCCCTCAACCTTGCTACCCAGGTTGAAGATAAGCATTCTATTTTAATTATAGCAAATAGGCTCCCAACTTGATTTCAGGGTTCAACCTCTGCCTGTTACTGTCTACTTTCTACAAAGTAGCCACCGGGCTCTTTTTAAATGTAAATTATATTGCATCACTCCTCTACTGAAAACTACCTGATGTTTTCTCATCTCAGTTTTAAAGCATCAAGTTCCTACAATGCCCTTGAAAGGTCCAAAGGACCTGTCTACTCCAAAATCTAGCTACTACCACATCGCACTTATCTCCCTATTTTTTCCATCCACTGTCCCCTTGCTCACTCCACTGTATTCACACAGACTTCCTTGAGGGTGTTCAAACATGCTCCTGCCTCAGGCCCGTGAACTTGCTATTCTGTCTACTTTGGAACACAATTCACCTAAAAGACCTACATACATCTCTCATGAGACTGTTTAAAGGCATCTTACCAAACAGGCATTCCCCTTCCTAGATGAGCTAAGATTAGAGAACCTAAGTTAGATTCCTGGCTGCTAAGAGCAGCTCTCAGAGCCCTCACACATTATTCCATTTTACCATTTCACTGATCTTCAGAACACTTTTCACCACTAGACATTATATTTATATATATTTATTTTGATGAATTTTGTGTCTCCTCCTTTTAGAATATAATCTCCAAGAAGAGTTCTGCTGTTGGTGGTGCTCATGGCTGTCAGCACCAGTGTGTAAGAGGCTATCCAAAAACATTTAAGGCAATCAAAAGATATTTAAAACAATGGACCAAGGAAAGATTCTCATGCATGGAAAATATTGGGGAGACACCTTTAAACATAGTTGACCCTGAGTTTAGGAAAAGGAAAGCAAGTTCTATATAAGCAAGATGATATCATATCATGGAGGTCATTGACAAGAGAAATTTCCACCTTATATGACTGGCAATATGATTAATTGGGACTTCATGTCATCAGACTACCATAAGAAAAAGGAAGAAAGCTTTAAGGGAATGAATCCAGCAATATCATTTAAAATAAACTAAAATAATGATCAGAATTAACAATTATACAATGAAATTCAAGCAAAGCAGGCATGAAGTTTAATGATGTGGTTTGGGCTGGGAACAGAGAATGAGAAATTTTAAGAAATCAAAAGGAATAGCAAAGATTTTAAATAAGGGACCTGAGGAGGTAGGTAAGTGTCTAGGAAAAAACACACTTCATCTGCCCCCAGGTTCCTGGCACAGAGCTCCTAAACGCTCGTAATTTCCTAAGTGGCAGAGCACTAGGAACATTTTTTTGTTCTAATAGTTTGTTTTTGACCCTGGTCACTGAAAGAGTTTGCAAATACCTTGGAATTTCCTAGGTGATAGGAGAATCTTTTGTTCTGATAAGGTGATTCTGGGTGGGCTCCTAGCCACCAGAAAGACCAAGCTATCATTAGAAGCTTGGAACTTCCAGCTCCACCCCCATTCTCTGGAGAGGGGTGAGGGGATAGAAATGAAGTTCATACATCTATCATGCCTACATGTGGAAATAGAAATCCCCAAAGTATAGTGTTTGGAGAGCTTCCAGGTTGGTGAACATGTGGAGGTTGGGGAGAAGGACACTCAAAGAGGGCATGGAAGCTCCGTGCCCTTACCCTATGCATCTCTTCCATGTGGCTGTTCCTGAGTTATATCCTTTTATAATAAATGGGTGGTTTATTAAGTAAAATGTTTCTGACTTCTGTGAGCTGTTCTAGCAAATTATTCGAACACAAGGAGGAAGTCTTGGGAACCTTTGATTTATAGCTGGTTGAGCAGAAGCATGCATGACAACCCGGACTTGTGATTGACATATGAAGTGGAGGCAGGGACAATCTTGCAAGACTGAGCCTTTAACCTGTGAGATCTGACACTATCTATAGGCAGCTACTGTCAGAGCTGAGAGTTAAATTGTAGGACACCCAGCAGGTGTCACAGAGAATTACCTGTTGTGGGGGAAAACCCTCAGATGTCTGGTTTCAGAAGTGTTGAGAGTGTGGCAGTGGTGTAAAAGAAGAGGAGAAACACAAGAGGAGGACTGAGGTTTTTCCAACACAGCCAGGATATATATCAATAATAGAAGCTACTATAGAATGAATGTTTCTATCCCCCCAAATTTATACATTGAAATCCTAACTCCCGGGCCGGTCGACTGGCTCAGCTGGTTAAGAGCTCACTTGGGAGCGCCAGCTCTGAGCAGCAGGGCTGCGGTTCGGATCCCACATTGAGGGCCAGTGACGCTCGCCCCCTACAGCTAAGATGGTGAACAACAGCTTGACCTGGAGCTGGGCTGCTGTGAGTTGCCGGAGACAGCGTAGGCTGCAGCGGGGCTGCAGTGAGCTGCTGTGAGCTACGTGAGTGGCTGGCAGCCAGTGTGAGCAGCCGGCAGCTGGTGTGAGCTGCTGTGAGGGGCCGACCAATAACCAGCAACTGATTGCCTCACCCAGGAAGAGCACAATGATAATATCAACATGGGCCAGTGAAGTGACGTCCTCCACTATTAGACTGAAGAACAAAAACAGCAATTTGTCTACCTGTCTGTTCCTCTTCCCTGATTCCCCAATGCTGTTCCCCTCTCCCCAATTCCCCAATAAAATCTCAAAAAAAAAAAAAAAGAAATCCTAACTCCCAATCAAAGATGAGGATGTATGGTAGGAAGGGAAATCAAGATTATCCAAAGGGGCAAGAAGGTTTAGTATCAGAAGAGAGTGCTAAAATCAAATGTCTTTCCTTGGAGAGAGGCATGGAAGGTGAATTTCAAAGCAAGAAAAGTAGACGGGAAAAGTAGCGATACAGTGCTGGGAAAAGAAGGATAAGATTCAAGAATTCTAAGAAGAAACCTACAGGGGGAAAAAACAATCAAGACCTAGAAGAAATGAAAGGAATCAAATCCAAGAAAAGATGTGTTCCTCTGAATACCTAAAAGAAAAAGTCCTCCTTTGTAGGAGATTGGTGGGGGCTCTGTTCACATGTCCTCAGACACTCTCAGCTGTGACACCTCTGAATGACTAGAATATGACTTTCTCAGCCACCCTCCTTGCTCATTCTCTCAACCTCACCTGAACAGATTTGACTGTGGGCTTCATCTTCTATGGTCCATGGTTCCCCTCGTTCCAATCTGGAGAGAGCATCTGGCTTGCTGACTTGATACCCTGTTCATGGGAAGTGACAGAAGAGGCAGGCTCTTTGAATTTGGCTGTGGTCTGCCAGTATAGAAGAATGTTATATTTTAGGAACTATGCAATTTGTAGGACAGCACAGTAAAGGCTTTTTGATGAAGAAGGGTACATTATACCCTCTACTCTGAGACCAGAGAGGGGACTGAGATTCATCTACCTCTTCAGAGCATCACAGACATGCCAAAGCTTTCTGAAGCTGAGACTGGAAAGGCCACTGACTGAGGACCCTCTCAGTGACACAGGGGAGCCGTCCTCACCCAATGACACGAGGTTGCTGTAGTTCTCCAATGTCACATCCCGGTACAGGTCCTTCTGATCAGGGTCCAGGAGCTGCCACTCCTCCCACGTGAAGTCCACAGTCACGTCCTCCAGTGTCACTGATTCCTGTCATAACACAGTCCTGTTTAATCTGACTGTTTCTCTAGTTACTGAAAGAAAAGGAATGTGAAGGAAGTTTTTCTGCTCATTTTTAGCATATAGGCTACATCTATCTATTTAAGTGTTGATTTTTTTAAACTACATTGTTATAGAACCAAAATCTATCCATATCCACAGTCAACCTCTAGCAAAATATTCTGTATTCATGCAGTCAACCATCATTCAACGAATGAGAAGTTTATGTAATAGTCACTAATTCGTCTTGCTAAACTAGAAACATTTACAAAATATATATTTGAAGAATTTGCTACATGTATATCAAATTATATATATCAAACACATATATAATTTTGGGGGTAGGCACATATTTGCAAGGCATTAAATATATTCTAGTATTTCAGGATGAATAAAACATATTCCTACATTCACCATCAATCTTGATTACCATTATCAAAATCAACCATGCAGAAAATCCAGATAAAGACACATAATACTAAGTATATTTTATATATTAGGAGGAATACAAGCATCTTTCCAAAACATTTCCAAAGAACAAGACTGTTAAAGATCAGTAAGGAGACTAAAAAAATAAATAGCAGCCTCCAAAAAACACATAAATACAGTCATGTGCCACATAACGACGTTCCCGTCAACTACAGACCGATGTGTGTACGATGCTGGTATACCATACAGCCTAGGTGTGTGGTAGATAATACCATCCACGTTTGTGTAAGTGCACTCTGTGGTGTTCACACAATGACGACATTACCTAATGACACAGTTCTCAGAACATATCCCTGTCATTAAGCGGCGCATGGCTGTACGTTATTTTTAGTTTATATTTACATTACCAGGTAGGTTCACAGCATATCAGATACGTTGAAGAGATAATGAACTGGAAAGCAGATCTCAGAAAGAAGAAATTACTCAAAATGCAGCAAAAGGGCATAGTAATAGAATACATAAAGACAGAATAATATCCAGTTGTCGGAAAAGTCATGACGCATTTTTGCAACAAAAAACAGAAAAAATATGTCATGACTTTTCCGACAACCCAATAAATATAGAGGCTAGAGTGAGGTCTAGCATTTAATAATCCAGGTTATGAAAGAGTGAATATAGTGATGGAAAGGCACTAACTGAAGATCTAAGGGCTGAGGCAGATGCATCTATAAATATCTATATAGACATACACATACACACAGGTACAGTGACAGGAAGTACACACTACTGCTCATTTGTTAAGCTGCACTACCCCTTAGAGAAGGAGCATTAAGAAGGAGAATCTTACTTTTTCACTATATGCACTTTGCAATCACTGGAGGGGTTTTTTTGTTTGTTTTTTTAAGATATTTTACTTTCATTTATTCCTTTTCTAATTTACCACCTTCATCATTTATAGTTTTCAGATGATTTTTTTTAATTGGAGAACAGTGTGTTTTTCCAGGAACTATCAGCTCCAAGTCAAATAGTTGTTTCAATCTAGTTGTGAAGGGCGCAGCTCAGTGGCCCATGTGAGGATCGAACCGGCAACCTTGGTGTTATGAGTACTGTGCTCTAACCAACTGAGCTAACTGGCCACCCCAATCACTGGAGTTTTTTAAATGTATCCATGTACATTTGTATGATTCATTTTTATAAAGGTAATAAAAGAGGCAATAGGCAGTGGCTTTGAACACAGGGAAAGAGAGTGTATTATCTTAGAAAGGGGGACATTCTAAATCAAATCCTCTGGGACCCCAACAATTTAGCAAACAGTACTTTCAACTCCCTACTGCCAAACCCAATCTCAAACACTAGTTCAGCCACCTGTTTACACAGGACCTTTGAATGTCATGCAATCCTTCCATTTTCTTAGGTTATCTAGGTTTCTTTCCTAGATTAACCCTGACCACTACAAGGCTGGGTCCATGGGTCACCCTGCTTGTCCCATGAAAAACTGTGCCCGTTGAGTTCTTTCTCATGGTCTATTCTCAAAGGGGTCTCTGAGGAGCCCTACTTTTGCATTTATGAGAAAGCTGAAGTTAAGGACACTGTCTACCATCTCTAGAACTATAAAAAAATGTACTACCACCTAAGGAAATATATAGTTACATCCTCTAAGGACTGCTCTGCTTTCTCACCAGTCAATGCATAGCCTGTCATCATCACGACTCTCTGGTTATGATGGCTGTCAGAGGAATTACACAAAAGGTGACAGCTAATATAATCCATAGAATGCTCTAGTCACATGATGTTTCAATATTAGTCATTTAGTGCAGGTCCCAGGAACAATATAATCCTGATCCTGTTTTGCCTTGATGATGAAGTTAGAGTCTAAACTTATTTCTGCACAAATCCTGCTTTACCAATTTAAACTTCTCCATTTAATTCAATCATGTTTTCTAATGCTCCAGAAATCAATCACAGAATGAAGGAAAGAATAAAACAAACCAAAAGTCACCTGATTCTGAATCATTTTCTTCTGTTATTGAGAAATGGTTAATAATGAGAGTATTGTTTCTTGTCTCTTCCTGGACTGTCCTAAATTTCTGGTTAGAAATCTTTGTCTCCAGTCAGTAGTATCCCCACAAATGACAGCATTCAGGTCCTGAAATCTCCTCCTCTTCACTTAATGTCTCTTGTTCCTGAAGCCAGGACCTGCAGGCTGAAAAGTAAATTCACTTTGAGTGGAAATTTCTTTTTGGCCCAGATATTCTAGCTGCTGTCACTCACCTGATTTCAAGGCCAGCTGTCCCTTTATTTGAAGCTCCAGAAGCTATTACAGTTTGGAGCAATAAAATATAAGATTCTAAATATGTGGGCAGTATGTCTTCTGTGAAGTGGAAGTGGGGTGACTATGAAAGAGGAGATGATAAGGGAAAACCAACACCACATGACGCCTGTAGCGAGGGCTTTCTCACACAAATGAGGTTTTGGAAAGACAACATATAAAAGGCAAATATCTAAACATCTATTTCTTTAAAACTATATGTCCTCATGTACCTGTTCAGAAGTCTCTACAACTACAACTCAGTGTGAAGACAAATATACCTAAGCCAAGCATTACACAACAGACCACTTCCACTAATCATTATGTGAAAGAAACAAAGGCAAACCAACAGAAAAAAATTAAAGCATACAGAGCAAGGCTATTATTTGTGGGTATATACACGCTCAGTGAAAGTACAAAAGCAGTTCAAGAAAGTGGTTATCTCTGGGGAGGGAAGGGAGATGGGCTAGAGGATATCACTTAAGCTACGTTTACAAAAGTACCAATGAGAAAGAAGCCCCACAAAAAACAAAAACATGTACATAATGGAGGGAAATCCCACTGAGTGAAGATGGCAGAGTAGGCAGCTCCAAGGGCCCATCCCACCACAGCAACATAAAAAAAAAATCAAGTGAAAACTATCAACATTGAAAACAAAACACAAACTTTGTCAGAACTCTGAAAAACAGTCAAAGGTTTATAGCAACAGAATGAACACTGAATCAAGAAAAAGGCAACTTAAAAATAGTAGGAAAGCTTAATGTTGCAACAACTCTGTATAATGCCAGGTGGGTATTGAGTAATCAGGGAAGATCATTGCATAAATTATATAAATGTCTAGCCATTATGCTGTACACCTGAAACTAATATAAAATACTGAATGTCAACTGTAACTGAAAAAAAAAGAAATAATTAAAAAATAAAATATCCTAACTGTAAGAAACAAATAGTAGGAAAGCTCTGTGTCATATTTATTTGTCCTTGCGTCACCCCTCCCCAATTTGGTGGTGGTCTTAAAGATGGCAGCCAGCCTTCCCAACGTGGGACCCTGGTTCCTGGCTGAGTTTGTCTGTTCGAACCTGTCTGGGGCCTACCTGAAGAACCAATGCAATGTGCTCGTTTCTGTTCCACCTAATTTGGAACTCACTCAGGGAGAAAAAGCAGTGGGCATTTTTCAAAAGCACTGTAAGGCAGACAAACTTGTAGCTGCCTGGAGCAAAAGATCACAGTTGAGGCAGAGTCAAAACGTTGAAAGTAAAAGTAGGTCATTCAAAAGCACCAGTATAGGGCCGGCCAAGTGGCGCGATGGTTGAGAACTGGCTTGGGACGCCAGAGGGCCCCGGTTCTGATCCCGCATATGAGGGCCAGTGACACTGCCCTCTACAGCTAAGATGCTGAACAACAGCTCAACCCAGAGCTGGGCTGCTGTGAGTCGCTTGAGTCGCCAGCGACGGCGTGGGCTGCAGCCCCTGCTGCAGTGGGTTGCCATGGGCTACCGTATGTAGCCAGCAGCCAGAGTGAGCGGCCGTCCAGAAGCCTGCGACTGATCTGCCTCGCCCAGGAAGAGCGCAATGATGGTGCCAACTTGGGCCAGTGAAGCAACGTCCTCCACAACTAGACTAAAGAACAAAACGACAGCAACTTGTCTGTTCCCCTTCCCCCAATTCCCCAGCACTGTTCCCATCCCCCCAATTCCCCAATAAAAATAAATAAAAAAAAAGAAATTGTGGTATATTTATACAATGGAGTATTACTTGGCCATAAAAAAACAATGAAATCTTACCATTTGCAACAATATGGATGGACCTAGAGGACATTATGCTAAGTGAAATAAGTCAGGTGGAGAAAGGCAAATACTATATGATCTCCCCTATATGTGGAATCTAAAAACACAGAATAAATGAGCAAACTAATCAGAAATAGTCACAGAGATATAGAGGAAAAACTCTGATGGTTGCTAGATGGGAGGGGGGTGGGGAGTGAAGGAGATGAAGGGATTAGAAAGCACAAATTGGTAGCCACAATACTGCCCACAGGGATATGAAAGACAGTTTGGGGAATATAATCAATAATGTAAAGATTTTTTAGGGTCTCAGATGGGCACTTGTCTTATTAGGGAGACCACTTCATGGATGGTGTAGATGCCTGACCACTGTGTTGTACACCTGAAGCTGAAGCTGAATAATATTGAATGTCAACTATAATTTAATATCTATATAGTCATGGAAAATGGAGTACAGCATAGGGAATAGAGTCAATGGAATTGTAACAACTATATACAATGTCAGAGGGGTAGTAGATTGGGGAAGGGAGGTTATCACTTTGTGAGGGGTGTAAATGTCTAACTATTACGTTGTTTTGTACACCTGAAACAAATAAAAAAATAAATAAATGCTTAATTTTGTTTTGTGAATTTCACCTCAATTAAAAAAATCAAATATATCCTACATATGTCCATCAAAACAATATAAGTACTTTCTCTAAAACAAAAAGCAAGATTAGAGTGAGCAGTATGACCACCATTATCTATAACAATTATGGAAATGCAACCCCACTAACTTGATAAAGAACCAAGTAAGAATAATCAATATTAGAAAAGAGGAAGCAAAGTATAAGTTCCCCAACATAATTAAGCAAGAGTCAGAGTTTCAGAGATTAAAGTGAACATCTATCAAAAGTAAGCTTTTAGTCAGATAAGTATTACAGAATTTTTTATCTAAAAATTGATAACATTCCAAAACACACACTTCTTATAGCAATGCTACATGACTGAATATTTTGGGAGAATAGTTTAACACTTCGTATTGAGTGCTTTCAATAGAGGTATTACTAGAACCCAAAAATCCACTTCTACGAATTTTTGCAAATAATAATAATAATAATAATAATAATAATAATGGTGTACACATAAAAGTTAATATAAAAGTATTATTTAGGTCTATAATAGAGGATTAATTGAATAGCTAAGAGTACATACATCTAGTGAAATACTATGTAGCTATTAAAAATGCTAACAATCTCTATTTAGTGAAAAGACATTAACTAAAATTAGGTATTATATAAGCACATAAAAAGATAATCACTACCATTAGTCTTCAGAGAAATGCAAATAAAAACCACAAGTAAGCTACTGCTTCACATCACCTAGCATGGCTATAATAAAAACATGAAAACAAACAAGTATTCGTATGTGGAGGAACTGGAACCTTCATTCACTGCTGATGGGAATGTAAAATGTTGCAGCCACTTTGGAAAACAGCCTGGCAGTTCCTCAAACGATTAAACATATTTATCATATGACCTAGAAATTCCACTCCAAATATATGTCCAAGAGAAGTAAAAACATGTCCACCCAAAAGCTTGTACACACATTTATATCAGCATTATTTATAACAGCCAAAAATGTGCAGTCAACCCAAATATGGGTTGATTGAAAAGATAAAACAAAATGTGCTGAATCCATATACTGCAATAATAGTAATTCAGGTATAAGAAGGAATGAAGTACACATACACACTACTACATGGATAAACCTCGAAAACATGATGCTACATGAAACGAAGCCAGTTGCAAAAGACCACGTATTATATGATTGCATTTCTATGAAATGTTCAAAATAGGCAAATCTACAGGTAAATGGTTGCTTAGAGGTGGGGGGAATGGAAGGATAGGGACGGTAACTAGAGGATATGGGGTTTTTTGAGGTGATGAAATGTTCTAAAATTGTGCCAGTGGTTGCACATAATTGTGACTATACCAAAAACCAATGTACACTTTACACGGGTGAATTGTATAGTATATGACTAATAAAGCTGTTATTAGAAAAAAGCTATGAGTAGAACTCTACTTATATACTTACTGAAATATTTAAGGGGAATGTATAAGTGTCTGCAATTTTGAAATATTTTTGAAAATGTAAAAAGATGGATTAATAATAGAGGAGTAATATACAGACAGACATGTAATAAAGGAAAAGTATCATGTTAAAATCTATGTGGTAGGCATACAGGTATTCAAATGTAAAATTCTTTAAACTTTGCTATATGTTTGAAATAAAATCATGAGGAACAGGGTAGCTCATAGTTCAATGAGGTGAGCAGAAACAAAATAAATATTTCTAATGTAATTATAACAGTATATTGAAAGAACACAACAAAAAGATCAAAAGCAAAAAGAAACTGTTCACAATGGCAAGAAATTTAAAAATCGGGCTGGCCAAGTGGCTCAGTTGGTTGAGTGCAAGCTCTGAGCAACAGCATCGCCAGTTCGGTTCCCACATGGGCCAGTGAGATGGGTTCGAGCTGAGCTGCAGCTGAGCTACCAACAGGTGGCAGGATAGCTCAGCTGGTGAGAGCACGTGCTCCTAACAAGGTTGCTGGTTCGACTCCCTCATGGGATGGTAGGCTACGCCAACCATCAACTAAGACTGAACACGGCACCTTGAGCTGAGCGGTCATAAGCTGCCGACAGGCGGCCAGATGGTGACTGGACTTGGAGCTGAGCTAGCTGCGCCCTCCACAACTAAGATTGAAGGACAACAACTTGGCCGTTCCCCTTCCCCAACTCCCCAATAAAATCTTTACAAAAAAAAAAAATTTAAATCAAGGTGGAGGCCAGCCAAGCAGCGCATTGGTTAGGTGTTGGCTTGGGACACCAGCTCTGAGCAGCAGGGCCCGGGTTCTGACCCCACATATGAGGGCCAGTGATGCTGCGCCCTCTACAGCTAAGATGGTGAACAACAGCTCGACCAGGAGCTGGGTAGGCTGCAGTGGGGCTGGCCAGCAGTGGACATGAGCTTTCGTGAGCTGCTGGGAGCCGCTGTGCATAAGAAGCCGTCCAATGGCCGGCAAGCGACTACCTCACCGGGGAAGAGCACAATGATAATACCAACATAGGCCAGTGAAGCGACGTCCTCCACAACTACAATGAAGAACAGCAACTTGTCTGTTCCTCTCCCCCGATTCCCCAATAAAATCTTAAAAAAAAAAAAATCAAGGTGGATATAAGGAACAGGGAACTAAACACCTGAGTAAATGCAGAATCATAACCTGTTCTTAAAAGTGACTGAATTATTTAAGTATTTAAATTCTATCTAAATGAAGGCACATAAGGAGTGATTCCAGTCGTAATGTCATCAGTTTGCCTCAGTATACTGTTAACAGGGATTGTCTAAGATAATATTTAAAGGGGTGATCGGTTAGCTCAGTTGGTTAGAGCATGGTGCTGATGACACCAAGGTTGCCAGTTCGATCCCCGCGTGGGCCACTGTGAGCTGCGCCCTCCCTAAGACAGTCAACTATGCCTTTGTAGCATGAAAGCAATGTGTAACCAATGACCATGGCTGTTCCCCATAAAATTAAAATATGAAGTTAAATAAAGCAAATTATAGCAATGTTTCAGCAATTTATTGGAATTGTGAAAATCAAGCATAGAAAAATGAAGACTAAATATATGAAAAATTTAACAAACATTACCATTGGGAAACAGAATGGAGGCAACAGAGATGTCATTTTAATTGTGTTAGAATGATGCTGAAATGAAACGTTTACATATTGTAGCACACACACAATAAACTTACAGGAAGGGCAAAATCCTCATCTTTAAGTAGAAACCTGACTATTTGAGATGTGCTTAATCCTCCATCTCCAACAAAGTTTTCATACTTACCGGGTAAAGATGAAGGGACAATGTGGGAAGCCAGAGATTTGCCAACTGTGCCTTGAAGAACTGACAGGGAAGGTAACTTTTGAACCTCAACCCACCCACCAAACAGCTTCAACTCTCACAAACCTCTCAATGACTGGCACACTTGGACCTTCCCAAACACTGATCATTCCCCATCAGAATAATCCTGAGACCTGAACCTGACCACAGGTTAGCTGACCAAAACCCCCGCACCTGTCATTGAGTCGCATCTTATATCCCGAATCCGAACAGACTGCTTTGTCAAAAACCAGTCCTTGTCGCAGGCCTCAGTCACAGACACCAAGCCCTGATCACAGATTTTCAATCGTTGGTTTCCACATGCCTTTCATCGCTGACCACCAGAATTCCTCAGGACTGTCTCCAAAGGAACCCCAACCACAGGCACCGCAGTCACCAACTCCCGCTTGCTTCCTCTCCTCCCACGGACCCAGGGTTCCCCCAACCCGCACACCCAGACACCTTGGTCCTCTCATCCCGTTCCACGGCGAGCTTCACATACAGTTGGGGTTTTCCCGTGACCCCACCGCGACCTTCTAAGAGCTGCACTTCCGTGAATTCTTTCCCGTGTGCTTTCTCGCTCAGCCTCAGCGCCGGTCTACGGCGGCCGAGGAGCCTCAGAGGCGAATTTGCAGAGGAGGACACCTGGATTTCCTGTTTCCGCAGAGAAAATATGTCCGCGCCCATCTCCACGGATACCGGGGGCGGCCATCTTTCAACACTTGACGTACAGATGGCATAGAGAACGTTTAGGCTCGAGTAGTCAGGGAAGGCTGGGAACGGTAAAAAGCCACCGAAACTACCCTATTTCTCGGCACCTTGAAACCCAGCGGCACAAACTGCATTGATTTTCAGAAGCTCGAGCTCACACAAGACAAATATGGGCTGGACAATGTCCATCTCAGCAAGCTGGGGAGAAAAGTAATCCAGTTTGCACATACCAAGATTTGGAAACGACACAGTTGGGCGCAGCCATCTTTGAAGTTAGGTGTCCGTACAAAAAAAGAAAAGAAAAACAAAAGCCTTTTCAGCGGAGGACAAAGAGCAAACGTACAGGTCGAAAGGCAAATAAATACCTTAAGATTGCCTCTGGCTGGATGTGGAGGGCAGGAGGAAGTTTTGGGGACAGAAAGGGTCTACAGAAGTAATCACGCTTATGGGGATAACAATAATGCCATCAAATGAAGTAAACCAGGGATAAAGAAACCTAGCTAACCTTTGGGGGGAAAGGGGGGTGGAGTGCTGACCTCAATCTGATATGGCCCTTGCAGTCTGGGATTTCAGCCAAAAGCTGACCCCATTCATCTCTCCCTCTTGCTGTGGTCTGCTTTGGGCCAACTACCTCCTTCCTTCTGACCTTTATTTAGAGACTAGCTCCTTGGCTGAACTTGCCTACTTCTACAATTTGTACCCACAAGCCTAACTATACAGAACTAGAAAAGCATGCTGCCCCAGATAGCTATTCCCCTGTTCCTCTTTTAACTCCCTGAAACAACATCCTGACGGTAGCTGTATAAAATAAGCTGTATCTGATTATTAGGGGCTCTTGCAAGCCATCAGCTTGCAGGGACCTCCCGATCCCATCTTTGGCTCAAATCTCGTTCTTTCTCATTCCCCACCGTCCTCCCTTGGGTCACCGGCCGGCAACAAGTGGCGCCCAACGTGGGGCTTGAGTACGAGGAAACGCCTTTTGCATCTTAAGGTGAGGTAACTCGCTATATAACATGCATGATTTTCTAGAGGCGATAGAGAGAAGTCAGGAGTTATAAATTATGGGACAGTTAGATTCTAAGGAAAGGGATCTTTTTATTCAAATTTTAAAATCAATGCTTAAGGCGCGTGGCTGTAGGGTGCCTGCTGCTCAACTGGAGTGCTTCTTACAGCATGTGCAAGAGATTTGTCCATGGTTTCCTGAGAAGGGAACTATCAATCTGGTTACCTGGGAAAAAGTGGGCAACAGACTTAAAGAGCACTATAATGCTGTTGGCCCGTTGAAGGTTCCCATAGATACTTTCTCTTTATGGAATTTGATCAGAGACTGTTTGGATCCAACACATGAAAAGGATAGGGCTCCTCATATAGAAGCTGAGGTGGCAGCCATCTCGACTTCTCCCTCTGCGCCTCCTTTGCAGGATGAGCCCTTGCCTCCTGATTATCAGGGAGCGCTAGCGGAGGAAGAACAGAAATATGCCAGAGAGAGAGATGGGACTTCGTTTCCCAGACAACCTGATCCTGAGGAATCTGAAAATGACCTTGATGCAGATGATGAGTCATTGCCAGAGTCAGAGGCTGAATCTTGTCTTGGCACAGCTTAACCTTAATCCGAAACCTCAGCGTTGGCCGCAGCCTCCTAAATCGCGGGCTTGGTCACACCACATATGTTTCACATCCTCAGCCCCTACCATTAAGAAGGCTTATACTGCTTACAAAATAACACCCTCTGCCCTCAAGTCCCCTTTACAATAAGCCTTAAACCAGGCTAGGGGGATGGTGATCTTTCGGGTTTCTCCTATTTCCTAGTAGTAGAGTAAGTTGATGCACAAGGACAAGTTATACGAGAACATCGAACTCTCCCCTTTAAAACTTTGAAAGAATTGAAAGCTGCAGTACCTCAATATGGACCTACAGCTCTCTTTACCATGAGCCTTATAGAACGTTAGCTGCTGATGCCTTGCCATCCAATGATTGGAAGTCAATAGCAAAAGCCTTCCTTTCAGGCGGTGACTTCCTTTTATGGAAATCTGAGTATGCTGAACATGCCTCTGAACATGCTGAATGCAACCGTCAGCATAATGCCCCTCATATGCTGGACATGCTCATGGGAGAAGGGCAGTATGCCCTGATGGCTGCACAATTAACGTACCCAGCCCAGGCCTATCAGCAGATTATTGTCATAGCTCAACAGTTTTGGAGACATTTGCCCACAACAGAGATGAAAAATGAAGAACTGAGTAAGATTAGGCAAGGGCCGGATGACCCTTATCAAGATTTTTGTCTCCTGTCTGCTACAGGCCGTTAGCAGGCTTGTGGTAGATGGTGAAGCAGGCATGATTCTATTGAAACAGTTGGCTTCTGAAAATGCTAATTCTGCATGCCAGACAGCTATGTGCCCATATCGTAAAAAGGGCACTCTGTCAGACTACATCCAACTGTGTGCTGATATAGGTCTATCTTATATGCAAGGTATGGCTATTACTGCTGCATTGCAGGGAGTCCATCCAAGTCAAATGTTTCAAAAGCCTATGGGACGTGGCTGAGGTCAGCCTCAAAAAGCGGCAGGGAGAACTGGAGTTTGCTTTCCTTGTGGTTATACTGGTCACTTTGCTAAAGATTGCACTGCTAGTTGTCGCGTCCCGCACGACATGAGCAGTGGGAGAACGAAAGGGGGCGGCAAAGGGTTAAGAAATAAAAGAAACAGCAGTCAAGAGTTAAATGAGTGTGGGGCCAAGGGTCTCCAGTCTCATGGACTAAGAGCCCCAAATCGGGCCGACACACCGCTTTTATATCTCCACATACCTGGAAGTAGCATTGTTCTCTCCACAGTCTCTGAGTCTCATTCCTGAGAACTTACTCAAGCCAAATTACCCATGCCTGCAAGCTGCTATTACCGAGAGTCCACCTGCAGTGATAAGACAGATGCTCTGCCTTCACACACCCTATATGCAAATGACCCCAGGAAGATAAAATTATTGTGCTGAGGACAGATACTATCACACCATCAGGTCACTTCCCAAGCAGGTTGAGGGAAGGAATGTAGCCACAGAGGTAGAAAACCTCCAGTCTTTCTGGGGGGTGAGTGAGGGCTCATGTCCACCTCTGTGAGCCCCGAGATTTCTCCTAATGGCCTCCACCCGACCGTGCCTGTCTTAGGTTGTTCCTCCCATGAGGAATCTTACCCGTCATTGACTAACCGGCCATCCGTTGGAGCCAAACAGAGAGACACAAGGTGTATAAGCACTGTTCTCAAAAGGGTCAGTTTAGGGTTAAGCGCGTGGGGGGGGGCGGCTGCACAGCTGCGTGGCAACAGCTAGTCCAGGAGGAAAGCCTGTCCCTCAGCCATCTAAGCCTCCTGGGATGTGCCCTAAATGTAGACGAGGAAAACATTGGGCTAATGAATGTAAGTCCACAAATTCACTGTTGAGGGATATCCTCTACCGGGTAACAGCCAGAGGGGCCAGCCCTGGCCCTGCCAAACAGTGGGGGCCATGTCGGTATACCTGCCACAGATATTTCACCCTCAAAACCAACCATCCAACAGCTCCCTCGAGCAACCTCAGGAAGCGGAGTATTGGACATCAGTCCCTCCTACCAATATGTAGTAAATTCTGAGATGGGACCATAAGCTATACCTACCTGCGTTTTTGGATCTCTCCTGCCAATACTGTAGGATTACTGTTAGGAAGAATCAGTATGACTATGAAGAGATTTCTGGCTTTACCTGGAGTTATAGATGCTGACTATACTGGAGAAATTAAGGTTATGGCACATACGCCAAAAAATATTGTGACTATTGCCCCAGAAATGAAAATTGCACAATTGGCTGTTCTCCCTCTCTCTAAACAAGGATGAGTTTTGCACGAAAGTTCTCAGGGTGCCAAAGGCTTTGGATCCTCTAATGCAGCCTATTGGATACAGCAAATAGGACAAGATAGACCAGAAATGGAATTGTCTATACAGGAGCATAAGTTTGCTGGTCTTTTGGATACAGGGGCAGATGTTTCAGTCATTGCTCAACATCATTGGCCCTCTGCATGGCCTACTCATGCAGCTGTAACAGAACTAAGAGGGATTGGTCAGAGCAAATCAACTTTGCAGAGCTCTGCCCTCCTTACTTGGGAAGATTCTGAAGGACATTCTGGACAGTTTCAACCTTATGCCCTGCCTAGCCTGCCTGTGAACCTATGGGGAAGAGATGTGTTGAAGGCTATGGGGCCTTTACTAATCAGTCCCAATGAAATTGTTAGCTCACAAATGCTTAATCAAAGATGTATACCTACAGAGGGCTTAGGAAAGCATCGCCAGGGAAGAAAAACTCCAATAGAGCCTGTGCCAAAAAACAATAGACACGGAATTGGGTATCCAAATTTGTCCTAAGGGCCTTGGTATCTCCTGCTACCTCAATAAATAGTACAGCTGACCCTATAACCTGGAAATCAGATATTCCCATATGGGTAGACCAATGGCCCCTGTCTCAGGAGAAATTAGAGGCTACTAAACAGTTAGTCCAGGAACAATTGATTGCTGGGCATATAGAACCTTCCAATAGCCCTTGGAATACTCCCATTTTTGTCATTAAAAAGAAGTCAGGTAAATGGCGTCTACTGCAAGATCTCAGAGCTCTAAATCAGACTATGGAAATCATGGGTCCTCTTCAACCAGGGTTTCCTTCTCCTGCCATTCCTTGGGATTATTTTCTAGTTGTTATTGACTTAAAATACTGCTTTTTTACCATTCCTTTATCCATAGCAGACTGCAAAAGATTTGCCTTCAGTGTTCCTTCTGATAATTTTAGGGAGCCCATGGCTTGGTACCAGTGGAGGGTCCTACCCCAGGGTATG